GGATAAAAATGGAGTCATCCACGAATAGGAACCCAACCAAATCTCAAAAGTTGGATAAGTTTCCTCCCCCAAAAAAAGAACAAATTAGCGAAAACCCATTAAAAATAGCGAAAACCCCATTAAAATTAGTGAAAAACCCATGAAAAATCAAGAACAAAATTTAATGGATGAATACCTGAAGAAGAGGATGAGCACGGTGAGAAGAGAGGCAGTGAGGGCAAATACTAAGACAACAATGCAAGCAAAACACATTCTTCTCGGACTTACGGCGGTTTTCATGAAGCAAGCAAGTGCCAAAGAAGGTCTCGGCCATAAGGGCCTGAAGCCATGCAGGCTTGGCGGCCATGGCAGCGCCACAATGGTTGATGATCATCACGTGGGCGATGTCCAAGCAAGAACACAGCTAGTTTTGGTCATATCCGTTTGGTTTTGATTCAAATTGAAGAGTGGAGAAGGGAGATTTGTTTGTTGTTAGAAGAATTCAAGAGGGTTTTGGGGTTTTTTTTTGGTTTGTTTGGGAGTGTGTGTGATTTCAAAGTTGTTTGTTGGTGTCGCTTTAATGGTGGTGAGGTGAGGAGTGAAGCAGGGTTTCTCCCTCGACGCCTTGTCGTTTATTACAGAATAAAAGGGATAAAAAATAAAATGGGAGCTTGGGGAGTTGTGTTAATGGCGGTATACTGCCCGCCAATAACCTATGCTTTTTCTGCTTAATACTATACTTTCTCTGTGGTTTTGCAGAGGCTTTAGGCTTTAGCAACCCAAGACGGTCAGGTTTTCATTACGGTGCCGTTTTTCCTAATTTCATTATACAACCCAGACAATAAAAGTCTCACGTCCACTAATTTAGAAAATAATCATAGAATCGTAAGAGCTTATGCTGAAAATGGACTTATGATTTTTTCTTCCCCTTAATACCTTCCTCTATAAATTAGGTTAAAACCGAACCAACTAGATCAAACGAAGATTCTATGAGTTTGAAGTTTGCAATCACAACGACCCTGTAGGAGCTAGACGAACACGACTCTTCACAATGGTATGATATTGTTTACTTTGAGAGAGGCTTTGCTTTGGGCTTCCTAAAAGGCCTCATATCATTCATTTCCTAAATTAAGCTCTCATCACTTATAAACTCATGATCATTCCCTAAATTAGCCAATGTGGGACTTTCATCATCCAACACCCCCCCTCGAACAAAGCACGCATCCCCTTAATCGAGGCTCGACTCCTTTGGAGTCTTAGTCATTTTTTACTGTGCCTTCGTACCTTCGAGGAGGCTTGACTCCTTTTTTCTTTTTGGGGTCCTTTGTTCGACATTCGAGGATTTGTCAATCTATTGGCACGGCTAAGTTTAGGGCATGGTTTTGATATCATGTTAGACGAACACGACTCTCCACAATGGTATGATATTGTCTACTTTGAGCATAAGTTCTCATGGCTTTGCTTTGGGCTTCCCAAAAGGCCTCAAACCAATGGAGTTAGTATTCCTCACTTATAAACCCATGATCATTCCCTAAATTAGCTGATGTGGAACTTTCATCATCCAACAGACTCAACCATTACCTTAGCCTTAGCCACTAACCATTTATCGAGGCCAAAGAAGGGAAATTAATTACGTTCAGAAATAAACCATTTAGACCTAATGGATGTTCCAAAAGTCCGAAGCACGTATGACAATGATTCTATAAGTCGTTGACTCGACCAAAACCTCAGCCCTAGCCCTTTGTCGAGGCCAAGAAGGGAATTTGTAGTTGAGTTGTTTAAATTTTTTATTCTTTGAATTCAAAATTACTCCTAACATAAATAAATAAAAAATTAATTAATTAATAATAATAAATAGAGGAGGAGTTATTTTTGGGTTTGGGAAATAATTCCTCGAAAAAAACAAGTAAATATGTCAAAAAATGCAAAAGGCATAAACAGGTGTACGGTTATTTATTTATTTATTTATTTAAAATAATATTAATCACAGAATAATAGTAATTAAGAATTTTAAGCACAAATTACAAAGGCAATTTACCTCGAAAGTCCAAAGCCCACGTGTCATCCTTCACCTGCGATCTGATGTGTCCATTTTTCAAATTATTTAAATAATTATTTCAAAATATTATAATTTTTTATTTTATTTTATCATAATTTCAAATATTACATTTTTATCATCATTAATTTTCTATTAAGTATTTAATTCTTTTAAATTAAATACATGTCACTAATTTTTTCAAATTAAGTAAAAAAAAATTATGACATAATATTTAAATTTCTTCGTTTACATCATTTTTTAGTTCAATAATATCGAATAATTGATAATTTGAATCCTTTTATCGAGAAAAATATGTTTTAATTGTTTACTCTTCTTAAGTTGATTTGAAGTCTCTTAATAAACGATCATTTACAGTCTTTTATAACATCTTCCACGACCATACGTACACCAAATATTAAATAACTAATCTACCTATAATATGTACGTTCAGTGATACATAACTAATCTAATATATGTCGATGAAATAAATCTAACTCATTTCAAATTTGACATTTTCAAAACCAACTCTAGTTGAGCGGAATTAAATAACTATTCATTTTCAAAGCCGTTACCTATTTTATTTATCGCAAAATTTCTTTCATTTTTGAATATAATATTTATTAATAAATCATTGAGTATATGAAAAAGTTTTGGTTTTATGACGGGTTTCGAGAGTAAATTATCGATGTTAGTGCTAATTCTGGTGAATTGAGTAATCGATGAGGAGTAGGACGGAGCGTTAACGAGATGAGTAATATAATTCCGTTCCGAGTCCTAGATAAAAAAATGTTTGTTACTCTCTCTCCCGTTTCTTTGTCTAAACGATGAATCACCTCCGAGTTCGATGTGGATCTACCGAGGTTAAACCGACATCATTACATGTGGAAAGTGGAAGGTGCATAGGGTGCCTTGTTATTCCCTGGTTTAAGCTCATCGATTTGCTAAAGTTCAACGTAAATTGATGCACATCGGTTGAATCAATAACACCTAATTGTAGTGATGTTGTCTAACATTTTTTGGAAGATGAGCCCACCCTGCTTGGAATTGCCGACTTCAGATTCTCTACGTTTTTTAATATATAAAAATCTGTAGCTATTACGTATCATTCTATTAAACTATATCAATGCTTTAATCTTTGTAAGAATCTTTCATAATCGGTAAATGATGAACACACAAGTCTCGTAACAACTGCCCACGATGTCGAGATGAGATGAGTTGAGTTCAGACATGTTTGACGTACTTGGTTTCAGAAACTAAGATGGTGAGTTCAAGATCTCGTGATTGATAACATTCGTTTACGACTCTTACTTAGCAATTTAAATAAGGGTTTCATGTCATTGATAATGATAGACGAACACAACTTTCCACAATGGTATGATATTGTCCACTTTGAGTATAAGCTCTCATGGCTTTGCTTTGGGCTTTCCCAAATCTCCACAATGGTATGATATTATAAACCCATGACCATTCCCTAAATTAACCGATGTGGGACTTTCATCATCCAACGAGGCTTGACTCCTTTGGAGTCTTAGTCATTTTTTACTGCCTTCGTACCTTCAAGGAGGCTTAACCTTTGTTCGACATTCAAGGATTTGCCAATCTATTGGCACGCTAATACCATGATAGATAAACACGACTCTCCACAATGGTATGATATTGTCCACTTTGAGCATAAGCTCTCATGTCTTTGTTTTGAGCTTCCCCAAAAGGCCTCATACCAATGAAGAGTGTATTCTTAGATTATAAACCCATGACCATTCCCTAAATTAACCGATGTGAGACTTTCATCATCCAACAGATAACACTCATTTACGAGAGGTTTTCGTACCCTTATAAGGAATGTTTCGTTCCCATTTCCAATCGACATGGGATCTCATATCCACCCCTTTGGTGCCCCAGCATCCTCATTGGCACGCAACGCCCGGTGTCTAGCTTTGATACCTTTAGCCCGTTACGTATAGTCGTTAGCCTCACGGTTTTAAAACGTGTTTGCTACGGAGAGGTTTCCACACCTTATAAGAAATGTTTATCTCATCTCTAACCGATGTGGGATCTCACTATCTTCTCCCTTGGAAGCCAGCGTCTGGCTCTAATATCGTTTTTAATAGTACAATCTCATTACTTGTAGATATTGTCCGCTTTAACCTATTACGTATAGTCATTAGTCTTACGGTTTTAAAACGCGTCTGTTACGGAGAAATTTTGACATAGTTATAAGAAATATTTTGTTTCCCTTGAATATTGATGCAAAAGAATTATACCATACATATGGCTAAATTTGGACGTGTTTAATTGGTTTAGGCTCCAAAGAACACTTGGTAGGCGTTAAACTCAATTCATGGTATTGAGTGTCAACAACGATAGGTTGTGAACGCATTTTGACATCGTGACCCATATAAGAAATGAAAGAGATAAATGTAAATACGTATGAACAACAATCTCACTATGAACTAAGCCGAGTCGAGCAAACAAAGTGTTTGTGCTCAATCATGAACATTAACGGGAAGAATTAACGCAACATTAGTATACAAAAATGTTTATTTGGTGAATTAACGTGCAACATTATCAAGATGTAACGACTTGATTTTTTTATTATCCCATTTAATTTTTGGTATAGTCGGTTAATACTAATCTAATAAGTGAAGTTGTTGTGGTCTGACCAACGGGCTCAAACACCGGACCGCTCGCCCGTGCATAGACAAACACAATCAAACAACTCTCCCTCACCATATTTAAGTTAAAGATGATAAAAGAGTCTCAACCAATGGTCTAAAACATTAACCACAGCAGGAACATCAGATTTGCGAGTAATAGGAAATAGCCAAGTGTATTTCGGTTGGGCTTAGAGTTGGGCTTGTGCTAGCCCACACAAAAGGTCATTAATGGGCCCACCGTTATTGTCTAGGCCCAGCCCACTTAGCCCACGTCTCTTTCATTCTAAAAATATTAAAATTAATAAAAAAGAAAAAAAAGAAATGGGAGCCCTAATTGCCCATTGATCTGCAGCAGTGTTCGTCCGGAGCTTACTCACCTCCTTTTTCTGGTCAAGATTGAAGCTTCTTCAGTCATCAACGTCGCCAGTCCACCGATCTTCACCTCCCTCAGCGCCTCGCTCTCATTTCGGCTGCGCCTTTCAGTCTACCTTGCTCAGAGCTTAATTCTCATCTCATAGGCGCAAGGTTTATATCAGTTGTGCTTTCTGCAACTCTGTTATTCGATTGGTGTTAAGATAAATTTACCTTCGATTCAGTCTTCTTGAACGTTTTGTTTTACACTGGTTGAATGGACTATTTGATTTATCGCATTGTAGGATATCGATTTTAGTTGAGAAAGAAGGTTTGATGGCATTTCTCTGTTTAAATTTGCTTGTTATGCAATGTTTAGCTTTGATTTGTGTTCTTCGAATACTTCATATCTGATATAGTAGAAATATTGGTTCTGATATTAATTAGACCTTCATTTTTTCCTAGTGGAAAAATGGAGAAAACTCACTCGTTATATATAAACGAAGTAATGTTCCGCATATTCTATCTGTGAGCTTTTGTCGAACTAAACTTATGTAAATTTAATTGAGCTAAAATTGTGAAGTTGTATAGTGCAGTTTTTCTGGTCATTTTGCTGGATAATTTGTTGAAAACCTTACGTGTATCTGAAGGCCTAAAGGAACTCAAATTAATTGTCTTCTTGATTCTCTAAGGGGAAGCCCTTTTGGTTAAGGGCCACAATGTGAGTAAAACCGACCTAGATGTCGCATGTTTGAATCTTTGGGTGAACTTAATGCGAAAAATTCTTGATGTCTACAAAGATCTGAGCCTTGGGGCGGGGAAAAATGTATTTTTCTTCTTGACTGACATCTAGTCTATGGTTCTCCCTTCTCAGTACGTGCAAATGTTGATTGGTGTATTGACTGAAATTGTTCTTTTTCTATCCAGGCCACTGAATTGCCCTTACGGAAGCCAAAAATGGGTTTGTACTAAATAACTTGCTACCTTAGGGGGAAAGTTCATTAACAACTTGAGAAATGCACTTAGTTTTAAGAACAAGGCATCTCCTACCCGGTGTGTTTACAAACATCGTTCGTTCCCCTGTGGCTGCCTTCAACTTAAATGGATTACATAGAAATTACGCTCAACCTGCTTGGATAGAGGAGGAAGAGGAGGAAGTGGAAATTGACCAGAGAAGGCTTCCAGCTGATTACGATCCAGCAAATTTTGATCCAACACAGCATCGCAGTCCTCCAACTGATCGTGTTTTTAGGCTTGTGGATGAAATATCAGGACTCACATTAGTTGAAGTTGCTGAATTATCTTCCATTTTGAGGAAAAAATTAGGAATGACAGACATGCCAGTGGTTGGAGTTATGAAACCAGGAGCTGCCGGATTAGCTGGTATGGGTATGAAGGCATCAGCAGCAGCTGCCAAAGAGGTGAAGAAGCCAGAAAAGACTGTTTATGAATTGAAATTAGAGTCTTACGAAGCAGCTGCGAAGATTAAAATTATAAAGGAGGTAAGAAGTTTCACGGATTTAGGGCTTAAAGAAGCAAAGGATCTAGTGGAGAAAACGCCATCAGTGTTGAAGAAGGGATTGTCAAAGGAAGAGGGTGAACAATTGATTGAAAAGATGAAGGCACTCGGTGCAAAAGTCATCTTGGAATGAATGTATGCTTTCGTTCATCCATTGCTTATTTGGACTCATGTTTCTTATAATAATATCATGATTTTCTCGCTAAATGGCCATCTCTTGAACCATAATCTTTGGTTCTTCTGTCTCAATACCAACTTATACCTGAAGTGCTGTTTTTCCTTCTAATGTATTCTTAGGGCCTTTTTTCCAGAACTCGAGCGATTCTTGAATCTTGTTAGTTGATGAATCCGACTTGGTTTTAAGATTAAGACGAATTTGCTATGTTGTTTCTTTTATTTCAACTTTTTTCTCAATTCCAAACCGTTACATTACATAGCTCTGAGTATTTCTCCTTCTTCATCTTCTTGTCCCACGTGGCTTCCTCTGCTTGCAACACTTTGACAAAAGCGATGCTTTGACCAAATTGATCATCATTACGATCCACCTCCAACACAAACGCAATGACAACACAGCAACAATGACGATCTGGCAAGAGATCATAGGCGTGGTCAACAAACATGACCAAACAGGCCACAGGACGATAGGCATAAATACAACGAGTGTGGAAAGAACACCACCACAACCACAACGACAATCTGATAGATATCACTGAGATCCTTGGTGTGGTCATGCCATAGGACGATAGGCCTAAATACAACGAGTGTGGGACGAACACCTCCAACACAGCCACAACGACAATCTGATAGATATCACTGAGATCCTTGGTGAGGTCATGCCATAGGACGATAGGCCTAAATACAACGAGTGTGGGAAGAACACCTCCAACACAGCCACAACGACAATCTGATAGATATCACTGAGATCCTTGGTGTGGTCATGCCATAGGACGATAGGCCTAAATGCAACGAGTGTGGGAAGAACACCTGAGATCCTTGGTGTGGTCATGCCATAGGACGATAGGCCTAAATGCAACGAGTGTGGGAAGAACACCTCCAACACAGCCACAACGACAATCTGATAGATATCACTGAGATCCTTGGTGTGGTCATGCCATAGGACGATAGGCCTAAATGCAACGAGTGTGGGAAGAACACCTCCAACACAGCCACAACGACAATCTGACAGATATCACTGAGATCCTTGGTGTGGTCATGCCATAGGACGATAGGCTTAAATGCAACGAGTGTGGAAAGAACACCTCCAACACAGCCACAACGACAATCTGATAGATATCACTGAGATCTTAGGTGTGGTCAGACCGATAAGCGTGCCACCTCCAACACATCCACAACGATAATAATCTAATAGACATCACTAAGATCCTTGGCGTGGCCAACAAACAGGCCGGTATGAAAATAAACAAGAATACATTATATGATGAGGATGTAAATCTTTTTTCAGGTTGGATACCATTCAGGTTGGATAATTTTTAACTGTTTCTTTACCTCCCATAACAGCACTGATTAGTTTTAGGGCTCTGCAACTTTAACACTTGATAGGCTAAATTCAGATTACTGTGTATCAAACCACTGTTAAAAACATGAATAAAGAGAAAGGGCATCCAACTAGATTCATTCAGTTGGGGATTGAAAAGGAACATACTTCCAAGATAATTCAGAGGCGTTTTTTATTGTAAAGTTATAGGATACATGTTAACCTATTTTACAACCACGCCAATCTCTTTATTAAGAAAATCTTCATATTCTGTGGTGTCAAAACCAAGCTTAAGATCTTTCAGGAGCTGAAGGATAAGCAGGCAGGGCTAACGAGCATCGTCAATGCCTGAAATGCCTCACGTTGGTGAAGACGAGGGACACGCCATACTTGTTGCAGCAGTCGATAGCATCGGGATCTCGAATGCTGCCCCCGGGCTCTGCAATAACACCTACTCCACTCTGGCATGCTTCTTCCACTGCATCATTCCAAGCTGCCAAAAATTGTATGATAAGATGAGTTTCAGAAGCATTGTCACAATAACAAGATGACTACTAAAGAGATTGCAACGGTCACAACACATTCCGTGTCAGAGCAGGCGAAATTTTGAAGTATTTCAGACATATAAAGTTAAAAAAGGTTCATTTTCATATGCACGTTAGTGACTTCGACCTCGTCCCCAGCTTACCAAATGGGAAGAATGCATCACTAGCCAAAGCAGCTCCTTTGACCTCGTCCCCAGCTTTCCTCAAGGCTATCCTCAAACTTTCAAGACGATTTGGTTGCCCGCTTCCCATACCCAACATACAGTTATTCTGAGAAAATAGACAGGAATGAGAAATTTCCCAACGGGATCCAAACGTGTCGAGAAAATTTTAGTTAGAAAATACCAACCTTTGCTATAACAATGGCATTGCTCTTGACATGCTTGACGCACAACCATGCAAACTCTGCATCTTGAAGCTCGCTCTCTTGAGGGGCCTTTCCAGAAACTACGTTAAATTGTATATCTAGGGGAACCAAGTCGTCGGAATCTTGTGCTAACCACCCCCCACCAACTTGCCTGAGTGAGAGTTTTCCTTTCTCATTTTTGTTTGCCTCAAGAATTCGCAGAGTCTTTGATTTCCCACGCAAGATCTCAAGCCCCTTCTCTGTGTACTTGGGTGCAACAACAATCTCATAAAACATCCGTGTTTCACCATCTGTAGGGCTTCTGAACTCCCGAATTTCCCTTGCAAGGACCTGAATGAAATAAAAATAAAGCATCAACCCTACTTAGCTTCTTCATTCATCTAATTAGCAATCAAACCGTAATAGCCCAAGCCTATTAGATATTGTCCTCTTTGGACTTTCCTTTATGAGCTTCCCCTTAAGGTTTAAAAGTGTGCCCGTTAGGGAGAGGTTTCCACACCCTTATGAGGAATGCTTTGTTCCCCTCTCCAACCGATGTGAGATCTCACAATCCACCCCCCTTGTGGGCCCAACGTCCTCGCTGACACACCGCTCGGTGTTTGGCTACGATACCATTTGTAATAGCCCAAGCCCACCAATAATAGATATTGTCCTCTTTAGGCTTTTCCTTTCGGGCTTCACCTCAAGGTTTTAAAACGTGTCCGCTAAGGAGAAGTTTTCACACCCTTATAAGGAATGTTTCGTTTCCCTCTCCAACCAATGTGAGATTCACACAAACATCCTAACATAACATAAGCATAAGTACATCTTGGAAGGCGAAAAGTTAGTTTGATGTTTCGGTAGCTGGAGGTTTCGATCTGGCTCACAGCACCTTGGAATCAATTGCTCCAAAAGTTAACATAGAAATCTCATGGATTCAAGTCCAAACGTCTTTAATTAACATAAAACACACTAACCTCATCAACTTCTACGTTGAAGGCTACAATGCCACCAAATGCACTCACGGGGTCGGCCTTCACAGCTAGTCTATATGCTTCCAGAATATCATCACGTGAAGCTACACCACATGGATTTGTGTGTTTCACAACTACACAAGTAGGATTCCTAAACTCTGACACACAATTCCAAGCTGCATCCGCATCTAAGTAGTTATTATAAGACATCTCCTGCACACAACAAAAGTTTGCACATAATTGAAACTTGAATGCCATGCAAGGTAAAAGATAAATGAAATGTAATGTGGCGGATTATGGAACTTGTGAGCAAGAATGAAGACTTTCAATAAAAGCCTAAAAAATGTATCATGGTAAATCCTTGCGAATGCTTAGAAGAAGCATAATGGTTTGGATGCTAAGCTAATGAAGCTTTTCCATGATCATCATGGAAAACAGACAACAGAAAAGGCTTCAACATGAAATTTAAACATTGTTACCTGTACGACCATTCTGAATTTAGAAATACTATCCGAAGATGAACCCACAGATGAATTGTGAAGAGGGATACTTGCTCACCTTCCCATGGTGTTGGATGGCTGTTGCAATACCACCTGTATTGACTTCAGAGATACTCTTATCAACATAAAAGGCTGCCTTCTGATGAGGATTTTCACCGTAGCGAAGAGAACTTTTGAGGGAAAGCGGCACGGTTAAGCTGGGAGGAAATTTATCTTCCAACAAACACAGAGGACTATTTTAATCTAATATTCCACCAGAATAACACAATAATATCGAATGTTCTAATAAACAAATGTTTTTCCCTTCATAGTTTATTACAAATGCATACTCTGAACTTTATCTGGAACCAAATGATAGCATAAGTTTTTACCAATCCAAGTGGTTATGCATTTAGCGCAGATGAAACAGGGGGATTTACCTCCAACAGTCTGCTTCCACAGCCATTCTGAGACTGCAGAATCGTAAGAAGCTACATGTTGAAATGCCTTCCAAGCAAGCTTTCTACGAAATAGTTGATCATCCTCATTTCCTTTCAAGAAATCAATCAGTGCAGGATAGTCTTCGGTATCAACGACCACTAAGACATCCTTGTGGTTCTGCATATGCATGTTAGTGCACATATTAATACACATCATGAAATTGAATTAATCTAAACTAAGGGATTATCATGCTCTCAAGAGCATAGTATGCACACACACACACACACACATTAGAGATGGTCTTTCAGCCAGTTTGTAGTCTGTTGCTTTTTTTATTTTATTTTATAAAATAAAATAAATAAATAAATAAATAAATCTGTGAATGCTCGAACAATTTATATGCATCTAGACCAAGTTTACAAGATACAATTTAATTGTCAAAAACAGTGAGGTCTGAATTTTCCTACCTTCGCAGCAGCTCTGATCATGGCCGGGCCACCAATGTCAATGTTCTCGATTCCATCTTCAAAGTCTATTTTTTGAGATGAGGTGACTTTATCGTAAAACGGGTACAAGTTTACCACGACAACATCAAATGTGCCTGTTGAGGAATTATTTCAGAAAACATTACGCAGAAACTAAGATCATGCTTTGCAGATGAAATTTAGGAGTAGCATAAGACTTCCAGAGATGGATCACAGGGTAAATAGAAGACTAACATAAAACTAACCAATTCCATGTTTATCAAGGGCGTCCATATGATGCTTTTGGTCTCTTCTAGCAAGAATACCCCCATGTATAGAAGGATGCAAAGTTTTTACACGACCATCAAGCTGCCACCACAGACAAAATTACTCCACCAAATAGATTATATCATTAAAAAAAAAAAAAACAGGCATATGCAAATCCCTCCAATCATGCAAACCCACCCACTCCCACATGTTGGACAAAACATGTCTTAAATGGTTTAAAATAAAAAATCTCTAAAAACGCATTTACATATTAAAAATGGTCAGCAAAGTCTACACCTCATTAAGAATAAAAATGAAAAGGCAAACAAAATAGAACAATTCAACAAATGTATGGTAAGAATAACATAAACAAGAACGGGAGCATCTAATTATGTAAAGATATAATGCATCAGCTTCTAACTTTATACAATAAGGATTCAAGAATCTACATAGAGGAGGTTCACTTTCAATTTTTCATGCCACCTATAATTTAAAATAAGTTTCTTGAACCTAAGCAAAATGGTGAACTGACCAAAACGCTGCATCCAGCCCCGAATCTCCTCTCCGGGGCACAACATAAAATAATAGGGAGCTTGTTTCATTCAGAATCTGAACAAACATGAGAAAAGGCAGCATACCATTTCAGGGAAACTTGTCAGCACCTCCACCTTAGTAACGCTTACCCCAGAAGTTTCCAATGTAGATGCTGTTCCTCCAGTTGAAACAATAGTGTAGCTGCAATTTTATATGATATGAGGCGTGATAAAATATTCAAGGTTGTTCAAGCTTAAGGCACACTCTAGAGGAAAGAGGTGCAAAGAAGAAAGCATATGGTGTCATAACTTAGAACTAAGATTTTTTTTTTAAAAAAAAAAGGCAGTATAGATGGCATGTTGGGAATTTCAAAAGAGATTAAATCATCAAGCAAAGAGCATAAACAAAATTGTATAATAATTCTTGAAGGGCTTACCCTAATTCTTGAAGCCCATTTCCTAGAAATGCAAGATTTTTCTTGTCTGACAAGGATATCAGAGCTAGCTTCTTTCCTGAAACTGAACATAATAGCCGATACTGTCAAATTGATACAACCAACTCACTATGAAAAGGTCCCTATTAAAAAGAAAAAATGAATCAAAGAGTCAATTTACGTCATAAAACAAGCAAAATCGAAATCTAAGCTCAAGGAGAATTTTGAAATCTTCTGAGTTCATAAATGATAGTAGCTTTCCCTTTTGTAGAGATTTACAACTCCTCCCAAGTGAAAACAAACAAAGCTTCTCTTTATACCTCTTATCCACTAACATCCATCTCTAAAGCACACTACCAACATACGGTCAAAATTCAAAGCTTTCTATAGAAAAACACGCGATAATAATTGTTCTATATACAAAAACAAGAGGAATCTACCAGAAGGAGATGAAGCGGTGATCTTTGGAGAAAGAGTGACGGCTTCACCATCAGCCATGGCTTTGAGAGTAGAGCACGGTCGTGGCACAGAGTGGGCGTGGAGGGAGGCACGGGTGAATAAAGACTGCTTAGGGGCAACGTTTAGATAAAAAGAAAATTAATAAGAGGAAGATTAAGAAACCCACGATATGGGATTGTTAGTACGAACACTTCAAAGAAAATAAAATAGAAAAATTGGTGAATTGAACATTACAAGAAGAGGCGAAGGAGTGGCTTCCTTAAGGAAGGACCGAGCACGAGGTTCTCCAAATGAAATAGCAGTGATAGGCGTAGCAGGAGAACGAGCAGTAACAGGGCTGAACATCACGATCAATTCTTCCTTTGTCGGTGGGTTTCTTGATACCAATTCTTTTCTCCCGTCAGCCTTGTCAAGCCGCTAGTGCTTCCTTTGTCTACTTTCCACTAACTAGAACATATCAAGAAAACTCTCATTGGTAAGCTGTGGATTGACATTTATACCCAACATTTAATCAGTAATTCCCATCCCAGAAATATTCCCAACAAACGCGTTTTAAAAACCTTGAGGGAAAGTCCGAAAAGGAAAACCCAAAAAAGATAATATCGATTAGCGGTGGGCTTGAGCATTACATATTTTTCCTTCCATACATTACAAATATGGAATTGATCATCAAAATCATCAGCAATTTAAACCTTGACCAATGACTCATTAAAGCTCAATATCGTTCCAATAGTTTCGACAATAGCTGAGACAAGCCAGTAATCGAACTTATCCTACAAACAATAGTTCATATACAAATAGACAAACACAAAAAACAAAGAAAAGATAACATCGAGAGTTTCGTTTGTCCTCGAATGGCACCTACTTGGCACTTTAGATCATAACAAAACCAGAGCATCTAAAGATAACTGATATGGACATGAGGATTGAGGTCGAGTAAGAACTAAGAAAAGCTAAGAACCAAAAAGAAAACCAACACAGAACGTGTTCCATGGTTCCCTGAATTCAGAAAGTTAGGGGTGCCAAAAAGGGGGGAAATTATTCTCTGACTTCAAACAGAACACAGATGAACAAAATGAGAACTGGGCACTTAAACTAATGAACCCAAGTCGAGTTGGGAATTAGTTTACTTCATTATTAATATTTTTCAATTCCTAGCACACAATTCCGCACCAGTTTCATTCAGGAATACATTCAGTTTCAGAACCCACAAACAGATTAAAATAAACAAGCCTTATACTCAATTAGAGCGTTATCAGTGACATCCAAGCTGACGAATCCTCATCCTCACAGTAAATAAATAACAAACTATTCACACATGCAAGGAAGCTGCCCGCGTTAAATTTCATGTCTCTAAGCGTCTCAACGAAAGAAATAAGAAGCCCGTGAATGAAAATGAGAGATTACAACAAATTTCAAACCTGGATATATAATAATCTAAAGTAGAGTAGTATCTAATCCTGGGTACGTTAGCCGCGCTCGTTGAAAAATTGAAACGCTTCGTCGGAGAGCGATACGCACACTCCACTGTGAATGATGGCGGGGCCGCAGGCGCAGGGTTTAGGGTTATCGCCGCCAATAAATTAAGTGGTGCGCCCTATAGATGGCAACTTTTTCTAAGCGCCTCACAAAATTTTAATAAATATAATATTTTAGAATTTTGATAAATATAATATTTTAGAATTTTGATAAATATAATATTTTAGAATTTTGATCAATATAATATTTTAGAATTTTGATCAATATAATATTTTAGACTTTTGATAAATATAAATATTTTAGAATTATGATACATATAATATTTTAGATGGTAATTGTAGGACTAAATTAGCAAATAATAATAATAATAATCAATAAATAAATAAAAAATAATCTAAAAAATATCCTTAAAACTCTCTAATAAAATTAATAACTTAATGAGAATATTTAGTATTTTAATTAAAAGTTCAAAAATATCCTTAAAAATATTATTTAATACCCTTCAATTTTTTTAAAAAAAAATTAAAAAAATACGTTGATGATTATATTTAAATAATATACGTGCAATTTTAAAAATAGTATTAACATCTTTTACCCATATAAAAAAAAATTATACGGTTAATATATTGATAAAAACAGTTTATTAATATCTCATAAACCATCTCCAAACTTTTAAACTATACCTTTGAAAATGATGAATATTTTTAAAATGTGGTATTAACGGTAATTTTTAAAAAAATTAAAAATATTTTTGAAGTTTTTTTTTATTAAAAACATTAATAAAACATTTTAAAAAAATTAAATATTATTTTTTAACTGTCCTTTTTAGTTTTGGTATTTTGAAAAATGTTAAAGGGTATTATTGAAATTTTTAAATGTTTAATATTTTTTTAGACAAAAGGTAAAATTCAAAGTATTTTTATTAATGGTTAAATTAAAATAGATAAAGTAATAATTATTATATAAAATTTATAATATAATTTGAAAACTGTAACGATATGAATTAATATCATAATTTAACTCTATATTATTTCCTGATATATTAAAATCAATTTTAATATTTAAATGAATAATAAATGTTTGGATTTAAAAAATGATAATAAAGAGAAAAAAAAAATGTTTACTTCCGTAAAAATAACAATAAAGAAACACAAAAAAAAAATTAAATAAAAAAAGTAAAACAATAATGAAAAATTATATTTGAAAATATTATATGGTTAATTGAAATTCTTGTCTAAATCACGTGACAATGACTATTTATTAAGATATTTGTTTATTTTCTCCCTTTCATATAATAAAATTAATGTACGGAATTACGTACCATATACTAAATTGTATATATTAATTAAATTTCTAAATTTGTATTTATTCAATTCATAAAATTTTTTAAATGACTAATATCTTTTAATTTTTTTTATCTAATTCACGTATTTTACAAAATATTTAAATTTTCAAATTTGATAAATTCATAATTATTTGGCATTAAAAAAGACTTATTTTTTATTCGAGTTTTATTACAAATTATTAATAAATTAGGATATTATTTTAAAACGTTGAATCGATTATTAATTAGATACAAATTTAAAATTTAAACCATATTAGACAATATGAATATCTAATATCTAATAAATTTAAATCTTTAATATTGTTTAATAAATCATTTAAGTATTTAAAAATTAAGAATTTCAATTAGTAAATTCATAAAAAAAATTTAGATGTATTAGACACGAATTAATTAATTAATATTAATTTTATATTATTTAAAAATTATAAATAATTTTATAATTTAATTACAAAAAATGAGAATTATAATAATAACGAGTAGGTATAAGATGTCATTTTTGGATTTTCCCTTCAAGCATTTCTCTTGCCAATGAGTGGTGTACCGGTAAGGATGATGACTCAAGGAATGGATTGTGAGATCCCATCTTAGTTTGAGTAGTAAACGAAACATTATTTATAAGAATATAAATTTCTCACTAGCACACGCGTTTTAAAATTATGAGATTAATAATGATACATATTAGATCGTTTATATATTTAACCGTTCATAACCGGACAATAAAGACAAGTTATTATTATTACTTTTTAATTTTTATTTTTTTCTAAGACAAGATAAAGACGAGTTATTATTTTTATTTTTTTTGTTTGTAATTGTCAAAAAAAAAAAAAAAAAAAAAAAAAATCGATTATTATATAAAATAGAAAAATAGCATCCCACCAAAAAAAAGTCGAGGCTTCGAGCGTGGGAGGATAAAGTACAAAGGCGCACACTGTCGTGAACTCAGACCAGACCTTCTTGATTTGCAGACAAATTCAAATCTCACAGTCCATTGTTGCTTTGGGATCTGCATGGTGAGTTCTTGAAACGATGTTTTTTTTTTTTCCGGCACGGTGCTCACGAGTGAAAATGTTAGCTCGATCTTTCTCGAAGCAAACTAATTATGCGTTCTCTTATTCTGATTTGTGATTCGATTTATGATGTCCGGTTCTTTAATCTGACATGCGATTCGATATTAGATATTGATATTTGATACATTTCTTGGGTCAATTCAGCTGGTTGATAGCTAGAGTTGAAGAATCGAGTCTATTTTATGTGCATTCCAGGCGATAAAGGAGACGCCTGATGCTATGCAAACTAAGCTAGCGTTGGCAAACTTCGGTAATATCGTATTAGCCTACTGAATTGGGTTTCTGTTTAAGCTTTTCCTGATTCGTTATATAACTAAAGGCTTGTTAGGTCTAATAATCTCTCGTTTTTCCGTATGTTACTGTTCTGGTCTTCTAAAGATTCGAATGGGCGTTATGAAATGTTGGGCTTTTCTTTCATGCATATTGATGTTCATTTACAAATTATAATTTATGAACGAGAAGAATCTTGTTGCCAGAGTCCTCCTATATGAATAAATTTCTTGGAGATAAATATACATTCCACTCGAGGTGCAGACTGCACGATGAAATGGAACCTCATTCAGTAGCTAAAATATAAATTTCTCCCAAAATTGGTGAGTTTCGGAGTTCAGTTATACCCTGTAAAGCACCTTATTAGCCTTGTTAGTGCTTACTGAACACTTTGGTTTTCTATTATGTGTCTGCACTATTTAAACTGCGGAGCCATGAGCTCGATCCCTCTTAAGTTTCAGAACAAAACTCTTCATTTCATTCACCAAAACCCCAGCAGCCCTAGTGTTTTGGATGCTAGAGAAAGTTAACTATGTTCCTGAACGTTCCTCTAGCATTCTCCAGCCATTGCTCGTATACTATTGCAGTGCACTGACTATAACAACCATCATTGCCCAATGGCAACTGAGTTACTGTCATATATATGATATGAAGATAGATTTCTTTATCTTCACTATGTTATATTAGATATTGTATACATGTGCCATCATATACACCATACGTTTTTATGACTTTTGAATACATGAACCTCAGGTTTTCAGTTGAGGGCTGAGCTTTCCATTGTTGGGCAATATTACCATCTTCAAGATGATCAACTGAACCTGAAGCTATCTGTGACTTCAAGTGCATGCTTTTGCTGATACTGCAGTCTCTCTTATTCATGGGATTTTCAGTCGAGTTTGTGCCCATCAGGTATACCTAGATGGACAGAAATGTGAAAAGAGGTACCATAGATCAACATAGCAATTATGAACAAGTTCGACATACTAATTTGGAAGCAAGAAATCAGGGACTTGGGTCGACAATTCAAAGATCTTTCCATGATCCATCAAGCAACATCAGCACCAACATTCGACCCCCTGAATATAATATGCCAGTTGGAGCTAGTCCTGTCCACAACTACTCCATTCAAACTGGCGAGGAATTTGCACTTGAATTTATGCGGGAAAGGGTGAATGCCAAGCATCAATTTATTCCCACCAATAGTCCTGACCCAGGTGTTACAACTGGGTACATGGATTTAAAAGGCATTGTAGGACTTCCCCATCCAAGTTCCGAGAGTGGATCTAGCATTCCCATGCTCAACCCTGTAGAAAAAGATCATGTTCAACATTTTGAAAGAGGGGGCTTTTCACATGAAGAAAAGAATATATATAGTTCAAGGAGGTTTGTACCAAGAGCCTCATCAAGAAATGATGTCATTCCACTTCATGGTTCTACATCTTCAGGAGCATCTGATAGCTCATCAAGAAAGGTGAAATTCATGTGCAGTTTTGGTGGTAAAGTCATGCCTCGCCCTAGTGATGGAAAACTTAGGTATGTTGGAGGGGAAACACGTATTATCCGTATAACCAAGGATATTTCTTGGTTGAATCTGCTGCAGAAAACATCAACAATTTACGATCAAGTTCAAACTATTAAATATCAGTTACCTGGTGAGGATCTTGATGCATTGGTTTCTGTATCTTGTGATGAGGACTTGCAAAACATGATGGAGGAATGTAATGTAACAGAATATGGGGGCTCAACAAAGCCAAGAATGTTCTTGTTTTCTATTTCTGATTTGGAGGATGCTCAAATTGGTGTCAGAAGTGCAGAGGGTGATACAGAGTTTGAATATGTAGTAGCTGTAAATGGTATGGACCTCAGTTCAAGAAGGAACTCCACGCCCTTGGCCAATACTTCAGGAAACAATTTAGATGAGTTGCTTGCCCTTAACGTTGGATCAGAGAGTGGTCAAGTTGCTCCAGAATTGTCTGACAACATCAAATCATCTCTGACCATTTCTGCACCTTCATTTTCTCCGTCCTCTCAAACCAGTTGGACCAATTCATCTAGTGGTTTCAAGCCCAATTTGCAGCAATTGTCAGGACAAAAGTTGCAGCAAGGTGATTTTGGGCCTCCCCAACTCTCTTCTTTCCGCCCCATGCAAAGTTTATCTGAAAATGTTGGAAAGACTTCAATTCCTTCATCCATTCAGGCACAACGTGAGTACGTTCTTATTAACAATGCAGCACCTGTAGAGAATATATCTTCAATTCCCAGCAAAGGACATGTGAATCAACAGGGTGGCTTGGCTACAGACAATCCAGTCAGTGGTTTTCACACACAAGATTCAGATGCATCGTTAAAGGAGGGTAAAATTACAGAGATTCCAAATTTGAAGCTGAATGAACCTGATAAAATTCAATCATTGGAAAAGGAGGCATCATTTAAGGATGCACAAATTAAAAGGCAAGGCTCTCTCCATAAGATCGATGAAACTAATGAAAGCGAAAATTTTGAACATGAATACTTGGTTTCTTCAAACCTAAATGATGCTTCTGTTTTGAGCTATAACTCAAAAGGAGTGCAGGTAATTAATTTAGACACAGATGTCGGATCGAGTTTCCTGCTTTCAAAAAGCAACAAGAAGCATCAAGATCCTGCTCAAGAATCAGTACCCCTAGAAGTGAGTAATGAAGGAAACAATAGAACTGAAGGTGATAAATTTTCATATGATGAACTTCCAACTTCTGGTTTTGGTGCCTCTGAGACTGATGAAACAGGGTTTAGTTACCATGAACCCATTTTACCTCCACGTGTTTTTCACTCTGAAAGGATTCCAAGGGAGCAGGCTGAATTGAACCGTTTATCCAAATCTGATGATTCCTTTGGCTCTCAGTTTCTTAGAACTCAGGATAACTCCAATTTTTCTCAGACAATTATTGAATCAGCTGAAACATTGCTGGATGGGAATGCGACTCTGAAGCCTGAGCAATCTGTTTCATCTTCAAAGGTACCACGTGGAAATAGTCATGCTGTAGAAGATGGATTGGAGGCATTTGAAAAGTACAAAACAATAGCAGATACCAGTAATAAAATGATGAATATTTCAGGTGAGCATGATGGGTCTGAGGTCAGTGATATGTCCAATATTAGAAGTCCTTCTGCCAATAGGAAGGAAGCAGGAGGTTTGGCTCATCTTAGGGCAAGTGAAGAAGTTTCTGACAAGTGTAAGGAGGAATCTCTTATGGGACCCCTGGAGTCAGGCTGGATTGACGGAAGTACACATAAGAACCAAGGAAATGAAACTCAAGAGCAAACAGAGCCTTCATCATTAGCAGAGAACCCTGGTAAAACTGTTACTGAAGTAGAATCTGGAGTTGGTATTAACACTCCAGAGCATGGGGACATTCTTATTGATATTAATGACCGCTTTCCACGTGATTTCCTTTCTGATATATTCTCAAAGGCCAGAAACTTTGAAAGCATTTCTGGCATCAATCCATTGCATGTTAATGGGGCTGGCTTGAGCTTGAACGTGGAGAATCATGAGCCTAAGCGTTGGTCATACTTTAGAAACTTGGCTCAGGAGGAGTTTGTTGAAAGGGATGCTTCTCTTATGGATGATGACCACCTGGGCTTCTCTTCCTCACTTGCAAATTCAGATGTAGGTGCGAATTATCACAGAGATTCTCATATCAATTTTGGTGACAACATTCAGCAGGAATCCTGTCTGCTCACTGGACCCAGCTCTACAAATCCATATACAGATTATGTTTCTTCAAAGCTTAAGGGCGATGACAGCATACAGTTGGATGATCCTAGCGCTGAAGCCCAACACACTATAGGCCAACATGCTGAGAATGTGGTTTTTGCCAATTGCATTCTTTCCATTATAATTTGTACCTCCAGCTTATCGCTTTCCTCTCACTGCATGTTCCTATTTATCTTCTTGTTTTAGGATGCAAAATTGGATATCCAAGATATTGGTGTACCTCTGGCTGATATTTATCTTGAAGAATTTGATATCAGTACGTTGCAGGTATGAATCTCACAGCCTATTCCCTTATAACATGCAACTAATTAAAAGTTGAACATTTCTTTTCTTTTGCACTTTGGTAACATTTCATTAGATTATTTGTTATAAAATGTTAGTTCTTGTTTGATACTGTGAAGTTAAGGCTTTGAACAGGCGTGACTTGATTTTACTCTCTCTGTATTTGAAAAGTCTACTTGCACAATAAATATTATGCTATTTTCACCTGTATTTATCTAAACGATGATTGTCAGCTCTGATTTTTCCAAAGAGTTCAGATATTTTCTTTGTGTGATGCTCTGTTCTTTAATATGAATAAGGCGATGCAGCATTCCCTACTTACTGTTTCCGCAAAAAAAAAAAAAAAAAAAAAATCTTATGCATGAGTTTTTGAGGTTCTGCAGTAACCCTATTCACTGTCATTGCTTCCATTATTCTTTGAGAAGTTCCCTAGTTATAATCCTCTGCCACAAGGACATGTAGAAGCTAAGAAATTGAGCTCCTGAGCAACTGGATAATCTTTTTTCCCACTTCATGTCACTTCAAGGTTGTTTGCTAACTGCTTGTCATTAGCTGGTCTTTTTTACTTCTGTATGCCACCTCCTTTGGTGGGAACTTGAAAAGAACCATGTTTAAAATAGTTGGAAAAATCTTATGGATTTTATAATTTTTTTTTTATAAGGATCAGATTATTGGATCATGTAGAGTCACTAACTTATTATTCTTTTAAATTTTTTTTTTGTATATTTTGAGAGGGAAAAATCTTATGGATTTTGTAATTTTTTTGATAAGATCGCATTATTGGATCATGTAGAGTCAATATTATTCTATAGAGAATTATTTTTGTATATTTTGAGAGGGAGAAACAAAATATTTTTAAATTGGAAAAGTCTGATTCAAGTATAGAATTTATGAGAGAGATTGCATTTTCAATTGTTGACATTCTCTTATACTTCACTTGCTGACCTTGTTATCGTGTTATTAATTATTTTCTTGGATATAAACTGGTTTGGTATTATATTTGGGTCGCAGTTGACAGCTAATGTACTATTGATCTTGGGGGAACATATAGGATTTAAGGTTTTACTTTCGCTCCATTAATTTGTTGACTGTCTTTTGGATGGCTTGGCAGATAATTAACAATGAAGATCTTGAAGAGCAACGAGAACTGGGTTCTGGCACATTTGGTACAGTGTATCATGGGAAGTGGCGAGGATCAGATGTAGCAATTAAACGGATAAAAAAAAGTTGTTTCACCTGTAGGTCGTCAGAGCAAGAAAGATTGGTGAGTTAAATTCCATTCGATTGATCTCCTAGAGGTTATTATCTTTTTCTAGTAGTGAGTTGGACACTGGTTTGATGGTGTTATATTGCCTGAAAAGTGGGATGGGAAACCAAAGGTTACAAATTTTCATTATCAACTGTAAAACCAAAAAACAATCCCCCCCCCCCCACCGGCATTCCGACAAACTTAACTTTTAGAGGAGCTGGTTAAAAGTGTTGGTGTAGTATCAACAATCCTACTTCTAACAAATAGGAATCGTTTCTTAAGCAGCAATGGACAGTCTTCTGTTTATTTAGTTGGCTTATTTTTAAACAAATAGGAATCAATTTTATGTTTTTGGTCATGATTCTCTAATTTCACATATTGAATTAATTTTCAGACTGTAGAATTTTGGCGTGAAGCTGAGATTCTTTCAAAGCTTCATCATCCAAATGTGGTGGCCTTTTATGGTGTGGTGCAGGATGGGCCAGGTGGGACGTTGGCCACAGTGACTGAGTTCATGGTCAATGGCTCCTTACGGAATGTTTTACTTAGCAAAGACCGGTAATCTCTTTGTTTCAAGTTATCTGGCATACACTTGAATTGTTCGAGAACTCTGTTCGTTCTTAGTCTTTACATTTTATGCAAGTGTTCCAGGTACCTGGATCGACGCAAGAGGCTTATTATTGCAATGGATGCAGCGTTTGGAATGGAATATCTGCATTCAAAGAATATTGTGCACTTTGATTTGAAATGTGACAACTTGCTTGTCAATTTGAAAGATCCTTTACGGCCAATTTGCAAGGTACTTTATACACCACTGCACTTGATGAGAATTTATATGTTGGCGGTGGATTTATGAGTATTTCACCTGCATTGTTTACTTTTCTCCTGGTTTTGTTATAAAGGTTGGAGATTTTGGCTTGTCAAAAATAAAAAGAAACACATTAGTTACTGGCGGTGTCAGAGGGACCCTTCCATGGATGGCTCCTGAACTACTTAACGGTAGCAGCAGCAAGGTTTCTGAAAAGGTAATATATCGAGACTCATTTCTATTGTCACAGCTTATTAAGAGAATAAGCAATAGGACAATAAACATGTATTGCTGATGGTTTTATGGATCACATAACTATCAATACGAAAAAGGGGGAAGATGAAAGAACACAGGAAAGGAATGGTGTGGAAAAAGAAAAGAAAAGGTGAAAAACGTATTTGTGGGGTGGGAAAATTGATCATAGAAAAGGTTCTCTGTTATTAGCTTCTTAAATAAATAAGAAAAGGTTAGCGAACGATATTTCAATTGAAAAACAAACTGTAAATTATGTTTCACGATCAAAAGTAGGTTGAGTGGATGAGTTTCATTTCATTATTTCTACCCACTATATGACTATATTGATCATGTAGTTTTAATTTTTTACTTCTGCTTGGCAGGTTGACGTATTCTCATTTGGTATTGTCCTGTGGGAGATCCTCACTGGCGAGGAGCCTTATGCAAATATGCACTATGGAGCAATCATAGGTGTGGAAACTAAAAGGGAAAAAAAAAAAAAAAAAAACTGTTTTTATGTTTCCTTGGGATTCATTTAACTCATAAATTCTTCTCTGGGTAGTAAGGTTGGGTTCAATGATGGTAAGGAACGCCCTCACATGGTTAGTTTATGCAACTGAAAAAGCTTGCAGGATCGCATAATATGCATAGAAATGATTACTGAAAATTTGCTCTGAATTGCTTCATTTCTTGTTGCTCTGGGTATTCAATTTGATACTTCTTTTTCATCATTCACGGTGCATTTGTGTGTTTCCTACTTTGTTTTACATACTGCATTAAGTTTAGAAGGATTTGTTTCTGAATCATATATTTGTTATTCTATTCATTTTCAACTCAAATGGGTTAAATCTGAATTTGATGATTTCTTTCTCCACTCAGGAGGCATAGTGAACAACACATTGAGACCACCGGTACCAAACTTCTGTGACCCCGACTGGAGATTGCTGATGGAACAGTGTTGGTCGCCTGACCCAGTAGCCCGGCCATCTTTCACAGACATAGCGAGGCGATTGCGTGTGATGTCTACGGTTACCCAGACAAAAGCACCACATGGTCATCAACCACAGAATCAGGCACCCAAGTAAATTTCCTTGACAATTTTACCCTAATTTGTTTTGCTTCCTGAGTTAGCAGGGTAAGACGAGTCGTTTACCTGGATGTAGTCAGTTACTTAAGTATAAGTCGAGTGTATTACATAGCAATATATGAATAAGGGGCTGCCTCTGGATAGACGGAATTGTAGGTTGGTTTAAGATATCATCATCAATAGCGAGATTGTGGGTTGTGCGATACCTGAGGATTTGATTTATATGTTAAGTCAATTTATTTATGACCACAGTGAACATATACAAAAGAAAATATTGGTTGTTTACCAGCCAATTGAAGTGCCTATTGAGTTTTTGTTTGTATGTTTCTTAACATTAACTTCTGGTAGATTTTAATTGTCTAGACTAGTTTGATGGTAAAGTTGATTGCTGTGAACAATTTATAAAACCACTGGATAAGTAACCTTGTATGACACTTGAATTTCAACCGTACAAGGAACCACTTCAATTTTTCTTACAGATATTGAACAGTTATACCTAGAATGCTTGCCCAATCTCTGTAACCTTCCAAAACTGATAAATATTATCATCTTGAGACTTTCATTTTTTGGGTTTTTCCTCAAGGTTTTGAACGCGTTTGTTAGGAAGAGATTTCCACACCCTTATAAAAAATGCTTTGTTTCTCTTTCCAACCAATGTAAAAGGTTTATCCATTCCTTAGATAAGCAACTTAAATTACTATCCGTGGAAGGTCATTCATTCCTTAGAGTTGTTCATATGCTTCATTTCTTAGATGACCTTCCACTTCTTAGATGACCTTCCACTAGGTCATTCATTCCTTAGAGTTGCTCGTATGTTTCCTTTCTTAGATGACCTTCCACTTCTTAGATGACCTTCCACTGACATACCCTTAGAAAGGTCTATTCATACCTTAGATGACCTTCCACTATGAGCAACTTAAAAGGTCTATTCATTCCTCAGATGAGCAACTTAAATTATGATGGTTTGGTTCCACACCCACCCTTATAAGTTGCTCAATCGAGTCTGTCGGTGGAAGGTGTATTAATTTCTTAGATGAGCAACTTAAATTACGTATGTAAAATTGGCATTTTGTAATAGCTTCATTTTGCTGATTAACTATGCTAGACACGTCCGAATCTGATTATCGACATCTATCAAGGACTCCAATCGAACAAAACAAGAAGAGGCTATCAAAGAGTTTCTTTTCAAAATCACCTTCTTTCTTATGGTTTTTGTAACCCTATCTAGCTACACAGCGAAATATGCGGCTGAAGAAACCTCTTTTCGTCTTGCATGAAAAATACAAAAAATCTAATTTTGTAATAGTGATACTAAATTTAAATTAAAACTTTCTTTCAAACTATAAATATTAACTTTATAATTGATAGGTTATATTGGTTTGTGAAACTTATTTTAGGTTAGTTTGGTTGACCCACTTGCAAACTAAACAAAATTTTTTAATCTTTCAAAAATTCAACTCAACTTAAATCGAAAAATAATCTAACTCTCATCCCAACCCTTTTAGTTTGGATTGTATAGTCTAAGTTGTTCGGGTATGAACACCTCTAATTTTAACCTATTGGAGTATATGAACCCCTCTAATTTTAACCAATTAGAGTATAAGTTTGAAAATCTAATGAACCAAGTTTCAACTTTTGGTAGTTTATCCTAATTTTATTTTGATTTTTTTAAAATTGAAAGAATTTGTGTTCCATGTCAGTTCTAAGCTTATCCATCTTCGCCCATTTTTCTTCCAAGCAAATCCTTCTCCTTCTTCCTCTCCCCCTGTAGATTTCTAACTGAAAAACGCCATGGATGTAGCCCCAGAAGAGCTTCAATTCTTAACCATTCCAGAGATTCTCAGAGAATCCATTTTCATCCCTAAGCGCTCTCCCAAGACCTTCTACCTCATCACTCTCACCCTCATCTTCCCCCTTTCGTTCGCCATTCTCGCCCACTCCCTCTTCACCCACCCCCTTCTCCTCCACATCCAAAACCCTTCCGCCGATCCCCTTCAAACCCGCCATAGATGGGCCAAGCTCCTCTCCTTTCAATTCTCCTACCTCATTTTCCTCTTCGCTTTCTCCCTTCTCTCCACTGCCGCCGTCGTCTTCACCGTCGCCTCCCTCTACACTTCCAAATCCGTCTCCTATTCCGCCACTCTCTCCGCCATTCCCAAAGTCTTCAAACGCCTCTTTATCACTTTCATCTGGGTTTCTCTCCTCATGATTCTCTATAACTCCATTTTCTTCGTCTTCTTGCTACTCCTCCTCCTCGCAATCGATACCCAGAATTACCTTTTGTTCTTCTTCTGCATTTTCATTATCGTCATCCTGTTTCTTGTTGTTCATGTTTACATCACCGCCTTGTGGCATATGGCCAGCGTTGTGTCTGTGCTTGAACCGATTTATGGATTTGCCGCCATGAAAAAGAGCTATGAATTGCTTAAGGGGAAAACCCGATTGGCGGCGGTGCTTGTTTTTGCTTATTTGGCGATTTGTGCTACGATTAGCGTCATATTTGGGGCTGTGGTGGTGCGTAATAGGGTTGGATATGGGGTTTTTGTGAGGATTATTGTTGGTGGGTTTTTGGTTGGCGTTTTGGTGATCGTAAACTTGGTGGGATTGCTGGTTCAGAGTGTTTTTTACTATGTCTGCAAGAGCGTCCACCATCAGGGCATTGATAAGCTTGATTTGGTTGATCATTTGGGTGGATATCTTGGTGAGTATGTGCCTCTTAAAAGTAGCATTCAAATGGAAAATTTAGATGCATGAGGTAGGGGAAGGGAAAGGAAAGGATAGAAAAACTCAATTTGTTTTCTAATGGTTTAGGGGATATGAACGAGCTGTTGTACAAAGAAGAACATTTAAACCTTTTTGTTCTGAATCTTGTACATAGTCAGGATCAGTCATGTCTGTATATCTGATTGGTGGTGATGTTTTACTGTAATGTTCTATTGATTGTCATATGTTGATGGAAAAGTTTTCTTTTTGTTATTGTGTCTCAAATGGGATTGATGATTGGAACATTGCTAGTGAGTATCGACCTTACTTGAATAGGATCTGTTCTATAGATTGTATAACTGTGTCGAGAGCCTTGGAAGTTCATTTGGTGATATGTTAGGAACTACGAACTTCTGCAATGGTATGATATTTGTCCACTTTGTATACAGAGTACACCATAGAGCTCCCCTGAGGCCTATGAAGCCTCGAACAACCTCCCTTTAATTGAGTCTTAACTCCTTTCTCTAGAGCTTCGACTAAAGTACACCATTTGTTCGACACTGAAGTCACTTTTGACTATGTTTCGAGGGTCACAACTTTTTTGTTTGACATTTGAGAATTCTCATGAATGAGTTAAGGGCGTGACTCTGGTACCATGACCCTCCAAATGGTACGATATTGTCCACTTTGAGTATAAGCTCTTATGATTTTACTTTTAATTTTCTCAAAGTCCTCATTACCAATATAGATGTATTTCTTATTTATAAATCCATGATCATTCCCTTAATTAGCAAACAAGGACTCCCTCCTAACCATCCTCGACACAATATGCTTTTTCACTTCACTAACTCTGTTCTGTTGTGTTTGGTGTTGATACTGTAGAATGAATGTCATCAAAGCTTGATGAAACCCAGAAGTTTCTAAAGCTTCTTCTTATCATATATTGAGTCTGTTCCAAGCCCACATAACACTTGCATTTCTTCTGATTATCCTTTATGTTGGCTGATATTCTTAGGTTTCTTTACTCTTTCATTGTGAAGAAATTGGACCTTTAAGTAGTGAATAAGATTTGGCGTAGGTTGAGTAATGAGTTATCTATGCATTTAAATGAGATGGGCTTTTGAGATTTCCCTCTTCATAGCTCGAATGGACCTTGTTTGTCTCGATGATGACTTTCTAGACTCATAGTGGAACAGCCCAAGTCCACTGTTAGCCAATATATTCCGTTTTGATCTGTTACATATCGCCGTCAGTCTCACGGTTTTAAAACGCATTTGCTAGTGAGAGACTTCCACTTTTTTATAAGGAATGCGGATGTTGTTTGGCTTTGATACCATTTGTAATAGTCCAAGGCCATTGCTAGTAGATATTGTCTGTTTTGACCCATTATGAATTGTTGTCAGCCGCACAGTTTTAAAATGCGTATATTAGGGAGAGGGTTTCCATACCCTTATAAGGAATGATCATTTCCCTCTCCAACCGACATGGGATCTCACATCATGAATCCACAACTTCTCTCTTTTCTCTTCCTCACATGACCTTATTTCTACATCCCGAACACTCCTTAGTAGTAAGATACTTGGAGACGTGTGATGGTGCAATAAGGGTTTTGTTCCCCTTCAATATCTCTCTGAATGAGAGCCATTGAAGTTTTAGGTGGAAATATAAGGCATACTCACTTTAATGTCACAAACCCATGTTCAAACGCTAGGAAATTTATTACCATACTTAGGCCCAAGAAAGGCCACATCATGGTTAGCAAATATACATAAATACTTGAGATAGTTAACCACCGTAAGAGGCAGGTCATTTCGAACCCACTAGCAAGTTCCAAAACCGATGGAAGTTTCCCACGGCGATCCTAATCGTGAAGTACTTTGAAGTGTCATTCACACTTTGTTAAGTTCAGGAACATTGTGAGAAGGCAAAAGAGCATCAGTCCCGTTCACTTTCTAAAAATGACATAAATCGATTCCTGTGTTGCAAAGAACATTATGTATCTCGTGATCTAGAAATATCTACAGAGACGGATACTGAATTCCACTGCACATGGGTGGAGAAGAAAAAGGAAAACCCTAATCTCCTAGGAGAATTGGTATGAAAAACTTGATACAAACGTTTGAAAAATGGTCCCCAAGTTCGTTTGCAGTCAAATCTGTGCTACCCAATGGAGCCCATCATTTGATAGATATTGGTGGCAAGTCCCACGTTCGGTTCATAAGTGGGAATTTTTTTAAAACATTAATTGTCTCGATTTTTCTTTCTTGAAACACGGGTAGATTAAATATAGTCATAATATAGATTCATCGAGGGTATATATATAGAATGCAAAAAAATAAGAGTAGTTTTTAATTTTAAATATATTTAACGAATAATTTTTTAATATATTGAAGTTAAATTTTAATTTTTATATGAACATAAATTTTTAATTTAATATCTATAAGCTATTTAAAATTTAAAAGATATTAACTAAGTCAATTATTTATTATTCACATCATTAATAAAATAAGACAATTTAAAAAAAATTGTTTTTTTTTTAATTTTCAATATTTGGCTTGAAATTTAAAATCATGATTGAAGAAAAAAAAATTATTTTTGTATTTAAAAATTAAATGTATA